ACTAATGCCAGCTAAAATTTTCTGTTATCTTGCATGTTTTATGAATCTATTCACATCTAAATGCAGCACTTTTTTTTTTGCAATGAGACATTTGTTTTTATACTAAAATATCTGAATTACTTTGAATAAAGCTGGAAATTATGTCCCTTAAAATAATTAAACAAATAAGGCACCAATGTTTTTGTAAGATATTTACATTTTTTAAGGACATTCAGTAGACTGATTCAACACTGTTGGTTCAACCCCAAAACTTGTTTGTATTCAAAATTAATTATGACAATGCATATTTATATTGAAACAAACTATGATAAAGGGAATTATATTATATAACAAAGGGCAAGGTCACCAGAGTTCAACTATGTTTTGTTGATATGAATCTGCTTGCGAATAGACTTTTAAATTATTGTGTGATAATATGTAGCTATGACATCATAAAAACCTATAATTCTGATAGTGGTAATTCTTCTGCTACCAATTTGGTCACCTTATATATATTATATATTGTGTGCACCATAATAATTAATCAAAGAAAGCTAAGAAAGAACTTCCATGTGCTGAGAGTATTGGAGACACATTAAATATGATTCAAAATTACTTGTCAAAGATAGTGATAGTGATGGAAAAGCCGAAAACTAATAATGCAAATCAGAAAATTAATATGAACAGATTTTAATGGAAAACTAATGAGGTCTGCGCAATGTAACATACCATCTATGTACCAAGTTTTATTGAAATGTGATTGGAACCAAAAAAAATTATAAATTATTATGCTAATTAGGGAATTAATATAAACAGATTTTAACCCCAAACTAATCAGGTTTGTACATTGTCCTAGAGCATCTTTGCACTGAGTTTCATTGAAATGGAATAATTAGTACTTTAGATATCAGTGTGATAGCTTAAAAGTGGTTAATTATGTAAATTAGTAATTAATATGTACGTATTTTAACCCACAATTGTCTATTGTCCTACAGCATCCATGTACAAAGTTTCATTGAAATGTAATGCTTACTACTTGAAACATCAAAAGCTGAAAATTAATTAATTATGCAAATTAGGTAATTAATATGCACAAATATTTATCCCAAAACAATCAATCTCTGCATAGTCTTTGAGTATCTATATACCAAGTTTCATTGAAATGTAATGCTTACTACTTGAAACATCAAAAGCTGAAAATTAATTAATTATGCAAATTAGGTAATTAATATGCACTGACATTACCTTAAAAACTATCCTATGACATCTATGTACCAAGTTTTATTGAAATGTGATGATTAGTACTTGAGATATCAGTGGAAAAACCGAAAATTGACTAATCATTTGCAAATTAGGTAATTAGTAATTAGGTAATTTTTACCAAAAACTAATCAAAACCAAGCATTAGTTCAGAGCATCCATGTACCAAGTTTCATCAAAATCCAATAAGTGGTTCTTTAGATATCAATGGAACAGCTAAAAATTAGCTTATTATCATGCAAATTAGGTAATTAATATGCATGAAATTTTACCAAAACCTAATCAAATCTGTGCATTAGCCCAGAGCATCTATGCACCAAGTTTCATCAAAAACTTATGTATGGTTTTCGAGATATCAGTGGAACAGACGGACACACATACACACACACACACACACACACCCACACATACACACACACGCACATGGGAGTCAAAAATTCAGTCACGGAAACCATATACCGGTACCTGATATGGCTATGTGACTATCATATCATGTTGTCAACAAGGCCTGATCAAATACAAGCACCTGGAGACCTTAACAGTGAATGAATCTTCACAAGTGGCTTTCATTATCCTCCATTCAGTCTGTGTCATGCTTATTTGGGGTTCAGATCAAACTGTGTTTGTTGTTCAACCCCAAGTAAAATTGAACGGGAGACTTACTGACCATAAGCCTGGTAAACACTTAACTGTCAATAATTGGAATATAATGAAATGTGCAATAATTTTATTTCTATGTTTATTTGCACTGCATTCATTCATTACAACAATACTTCTCTTTCTTGGTAACCACTAAAAATACAAAAGTTCAAAATGGCTGACAATGTTGATACAAATATTACGTTTATATTGTAGAATATGAACTTGTACAGAATGCATTTTTCACTGATCCTAATGATCAGAGTGCGTGGTTCTATCACAGATGGTTACTTGGTAGAGGTATGTGACATATATATTATATATATATATATATATACATAATATTCAAAAGACTCAATCACATTTCAGTAGTAAAGATGTTGTTTGAAATAAATTCATTTACAAATGGATATGTCTATCAAACTAGTTACATGAATTTTGTGTATTTTTCACCTGAGTGTAATCAGGTAAAGAAAAAAGAAAAAATAGGAATAGCCAAAATTTCTCACAAATTCTTGTAACAGAAGTGTGTTCAGAGGTCTGTCTGTCTGTCTGTCTGTCTGTTCGAAAAAATCTTCTGTTCTACCAAACTCTATTTATTTATTTATTTATTTATTTATATTTATATTTCTGAGTGATTACGTTTGGAAATATACAAGGCAATTAATATCCACACAACACATGACTGGTAAAGCTTAGATATTCTAATATTTTGTCTAATATTCGGTGTGAGCGTAGGAATTTATAATTGTTAATAATTTTCTTACAGCTGAAGCACCGCAGTCTATACGAAGTGTTCTTATATGTCGAAGTATAAATAGGATTGTTGTGTGTTTCACCAAACCGTTAGACATCGTTCAACAACCACTATCTGTTAGCATTAATGGGAATCTTATAAAAACATCCTGGTATTCAGCAAGTAATCGGGATGTCTATAGTTTGGTATGGGTATCCTTTACTATTAAAGGGGGTTGTATATGCATCTGTCTGTGAGTCTCAGTTGTCCCGTATGTGTGTATTGCAGTGTGTGCAGAGTGGTTGTTACCATTCATTTGTAACCCACTACTGTTAAGGTTGATCCATACAGTTTTATGAAAGTCTTTAAGAAGTTTTTATATTTTGTAAATTACTACCGGGTATATACAACTTCCAAAGTAAAAAGAAATTGGAGATGCACGTAGATAAAATTCTAATCCCACTTGTTCAGACTTTGTCTGAACAGGGACTAAAAACTAAAAACCTGGGTCAGTTTTCCCAGGGTCTTTATGTGGTTTAGAAATACATTATTCATTACATGGTATACAACAAAAATGTGGGTTGTTTAATTTTTTAAATCCTCACACTATTGTCATTGTCTATATTCTTTACCATGTTCTACTAGATATTTCAAATTCCAGATACTGTGTTAAATGATGATACTGATGCTGTAATACTCATTTCCCTCAATAATGATCAAATATCAAAACATTGTATTTTAAAAAAAGGTAAAAAATAGTATATATTACTGGCATTGACGACTGAACACAGATGATCATAAGTTTGTTTTGCTTGCGAGAACAAATGCCTAGATTCATATGTAATAATTTTATTATATGCATCTCAGATGAGATACATGAAGTTGACTTTTGAGTACTGCTACATGTACCTTGAACAAGCGTTCTCTGCATAGTAACTGTCAATGTGTACTTCAATGGTTAGCAAAATACGCTGGCTTTCCTATCATATATGTAAATTTTACTGACAAAAGCAGTCATTTGTATTCTAATTATTACGTAATTTGTTAACAGGCGACACAGAATGTGTCATCAAAGACAACTCAACACCAGAGACAGTTTTCAGTTCTGATCTAAGTGCTGAGACATCTGCAGTGCTGCAGAATGAATTTGAATCATGTCAGCAACTGCAAGAACTAGAACCAGAAAACAAATGTAAGTACTTGTATAAACACCAACACACTTTCCTTATAAGTCACTCTGACAAGCAACAAAGTGCTTTTGTGACATAAAAATGACATGGAGAATAGGTGAAAGCAATATTGTTCAAGTGTGTGTGTGTGTATCTGTGTGTGGTCATTTAAAGCATAGTACATCTCTTAAACAAATTTTTTATTGATGGACAATGACAGATCAAAACAATATCAAACCTTCCCGTCTTACAATTACGTCGCAGAAACACTTTTGTGTTGTGTGTTAACATCTGTTTTCTTGCATAACTGGCTTGCTGTACATTATGAACTAGCCAGGAATAACAGAAATATAAATATTTTTCCTAGTATTCATTTTTAGTTTCGCTGTTGACTTTGTCGAGCGGAACTTATCATGAGTGATTGTTCGTCGTCGTCGTCCGTGTCAACTTTTTCGACTTCTTCTTGAAAACGGCAAGCCTGAATGTTTTGATACTTTGTGTATATGTACCTTGGGTAGACCTTTCTTATATTTTTTTGTAAAAAGTGATATTTTCGACTTCTTGTTAAGAACCTTTCTCAGATTTGTTCATTTCATGATATTTTCATTTCTCTAATTTTGATGAATATTTTTAGCTCTGCTGTCGACACAGTGGAGCTGTTCATATTACTGATTGTCCGTCGTCGTCAACTTTACAATTTCAACTTCTTCTTCGAAACCGCAAGTCAGAATGTTTTCAAATTTGATATATAAGTACCTTGGATGGTTCTTTCTCAGATTTGTTCATTTCATGTCAAAATCTCAAATCCTCTATTTTTTGTGAATATTTTTGTCATTTTTGGTAAAAAGTGATATTTTCGACTTCTAGTTAAAAATCGCAAGTCCATTTGCTTTGATATTACATATATAGGTACTACATGTGGACATCTCTCAGATTTGTTCATTATGTAATAATATCTTTAATTCTCTAATTTTAATGAATATTTTTGTCATTTTTGGTAAAGAGTGATATTTTAGACTTCTTGTTAAAAACCGCTAGTCAAATTGCTTTGATATTACATATATACCGTAGGTAACTACATGTGGACCTCTCTCAGATTTGTTCATTTCGTGATGAAATTTTTAATTCTCTAATTTTGATGAATATTTTTGTCATTTTTAGTAAAAAGTGATATTTTTGACTTCTAGTTAAAAATCGCAAGTCCAATTGCTTTCAAATTTATATTACATATATAGGTACTACATGTGGTCCTCTCTCAGATTTGTTTTCATTTCATGATGATATCTTCAATTCTCTTATTTTAATGAATATTTTTGTAATTTTTGGTAAAAAGTGATATTTTCGACTTCTTGTAGAAAACCGCAAGTCCAATTGCTTTGATATTAGATATATAGGTACTACATGTGGACCTCTTTCAGATTTGTTAATTTCGTGGTGATATCTTCAATTATCTAATTTTGATGATTATTTTAGTCATTTTTGGTGAAAAGTGATATTTTTGAATTCTTGTTGAAAACAGTAAGTCCCATTGCTTTGATACTATCGGTATACATATTGTTCATTTTCTAATGATATCTTCTGTTCTTTAATTGAAATGTGCATTGCTAACAGCGGAGCTATCTCAGCCAACAGGCTGCTTGTTGTTATTATTTTTGGTGAAAAGTGATATTTTCGACTTCATGTTGAAAACAGCAAGTCCCATTGCTTTGATACTATACATATTGTTCATTTTCTAATGATATCTTCAGTTGTTAATTGAAATGTGTATTGTTAACAGTGGAGCTATCTCAGCCAACAGGCTGCTTGTTTATTTGTTTCTCATCATTTTGATCATTTCTCTCAGGGTGTTTACTGACTGTGGTACTCCTGATGCGAGCATTAGACCCAGTTAAGCATCAGGAACAAACATTGGAGTATATAGAAACTCTTAAGAAGGTTGATTCATACAGAATAAATTATTATAATGATCTTAGAAGTAAATTTATTATTGAAAATGCGATTATTGAATCACTAAGTCATGATGATAAGATTATGGACCTCTCAAATAAGGTAAGCAGAGTTCATCTTTTGTTCCTCTTGCATAACATTTTGTTAGCTCCGCTGTCGACTTTGTCGAGCGGAGCTTATCATATGAGTGATTGTCCGTCATCGTCGTCCATGTCAATGTTTTACTTTTTCGACTTCTTCTTGAAAACTACAAGCCTGAATGCTTTGATACTTTGTGTATATGTACCTTGGGTAGACCTCTCTTAGGTTTGTTCATTTCATGTTGATATCTTCAATTCTCTAATTTTGGTGAATATTTTTGTTATTTTTGGTAAAAAAGTGATATTTTCGACTTCTTGTTAAAAACCAATAGTTCAATTGCTTTGATATTACATATATAGATACTACATGTAGACCTTTCTTAGATTTGTTCATTTCGTGATGATATCTTCAATTCTCTAATTTTGGTGAATATTTTTGTCAATTTTGGTAAAAAGTGATATTTTCGACTTCTTGTTAAAAACTACAAGTCAGATTGCTTTGATATTATTACATATTGTTCATTTTCTAATGATGTCTTCAGTTCTTTAATTGAAATGGGCATTGCTAACAGCGGAGCTACATGTATCTCAGCCGATCGGCTGCTTGTTTTATCTACGGTCACTGTACTGCCTTCAAGTAATTTGTAGGGTATTTCTATGATGACATTAACTCATTAACTCAGACCTCAATTATCAAAATTTATACATCTTGTTGGTCACATGATTCTATTTTGGTATTGTACATTATTTTGTTGCTGTGAAACTTGTTTAGAGCATGTTTGATCACGTTGTAAGCTTTTCCAACGAAGGAACACAAACTCAAATTCACTATTATTATACACTGCTAAAAGTGATTGTTTTCACTGCAAGATCAATGTATAATAATATTTTATGTGATTGGCAGATTCTAAGCTATTGTTGTATACTTTCAGAGATTATCGTGTTTATATCACAACGATCACATGGTATTGATGACCAAAATCAATCTATCAGCCAATCAGCTGTCTTCTTTAAGGCATTGTTATATGTTCCAGTGTGTTGAGATACTGAATTGTGATGACAATAATATCAATGACCTCAGTGATGTGTCAGGGCTACCTTGTTTACAACAATTATCTATGCAGAATAACTGTATCCTTTTCACCAGATAAGCCTCCATTTGTCTGTGATTAGCCTTAAATATGCGAACACTTCGCCAATAACACTTAAGGTAGTTTGCTATGATTAAAACTTATTG